CGGTGCCGTCTGCTGTCCCGGTGGAGTGGGGAATGGGGTGGGTGGATCTGTGGGGGAGCACCCCCTCCCGCAGCATCCCCCCGCTCCCCCTAGGCAGGAGGGCACTGGGACCCATCAGCTCAGCTCACCGGCCAGGGATGGGTGGGTTTGCCCACAGGGTTCCCGGGGTCCCTGTGCCCCAAGGAGGAGGAGGAGGAGGAGGAGGAAGAGGAGGACACAGCCATGCGCTGATGGGGTGCCCTGCACCGTGCTGAGGAGCCCGAGACCTGTCACCTTCACACTGGGCAACGAGATGCTGGGGCTGGGCTCAGAGAGTGAGTTTCAGAGCCCCGACGCCGAGGTCTACATGCACTTCATGAGGAGCCACTGCTGCTACGACGCCGTCCCCACCAGCTGCAAGCTCGTCGTCTTTGACATCTCCCTGGAGGTGACAAAGCGGGGGATTGGCGTGGCTGGGCAGGGGGAGAGTGGGCTCGGGGACCCCCTGACCCCCTCCTCACCCCACCAGCAGATCAAGAAAGCCTTCGTGGCGCTGGTGGCCAACGGGGTGCGTGCTGCCCCGCTCTGGGACAGCAAGACACAGAGCTTTGTGGGTGAGTGCCGACAGCGTCAGCCCCAGCGCCCGGCCTGGCCCCTTGCCCTGCCTGTCAGCGAGGGGTGCTGGCAGCGCTGCCAGCTCCTCGTGTCTCCGCAGGGATGCTCACCATCACCGACTTCATCAACATCCTCCACCGCTACTACCGCTCGCCCCTGGTGAGTGCGGCAGGGCGGGCACGGGGGGCAGGGGGGGGAGGGGGCAGGGAGGGGGGGGCCCCACTTCTCCTCTTCATCACTAGACCGTGATGGGGGGATGCTCTGGGCCAGCCCAGCGTCCGCTTGGTGCCCCTCTGCCCAGCATCCAAGACGTGATCCCTGTGCTTAGGGTGAGGGGGTGGGATGCCCAGGGAAGGGGGCAGTGCCTCAGAGTCCTGTCAGTCTCTCCTGGGGCCACTGTGACCAGGGTGTCTCCCTGCCCTCAGGTTCAGATCTACGAGGTGGAGGAGCACAAGATTGAGACCTGGAGAGGTAAAAAGCTGGGGGTGATGGGGGTGGCTGTGCTGGGGATCGATGCAGGGCATGGAGGTGGGCTCTGGGGGGCTGGGGCTGCATGAGGGGGCTGAGGGAACCCCTCTCCCACCTCTGTCCCTTGGCAGAAGTCTACCTTCAAGGGTCCTTCAAGCCACTGGTCTACATCTCCCCGAGCAATAGGTGAGCGTCTGCCTGCTCGGGGAGAGCACGCCCCAGGGAGTGTGCCCGGGATGCAGCCCTATCCCCACCAATGTCCCTGTCCCCTGCAGCCTCTTTGACGCCGTCTACTCCCTGATCAAGCACAAGATCCACCGCCTGCCCATCATCGAGCCCGTCTCGGGCAATGTCCTGCACATCCTGACGCACAAGCGCATCCTCAAGTTCCTCCACATCTTCGTGAGTGCTGGGGGGCTGCATGTGCACGCAGACCACGGCAAGCAAGGGTGTAGGGGCGCATTTAGGTGCCAGCCGTGCCCTGCCTTGCTGCAGGGTTCCACCATCCCCAAGCCACGCTTCCTGAAGAAAACGGTGCAGGAGCTGTGCATCGGCACCTTCCGTGACGTGGCCGTCGTGCCCGAGACCGCCCCCATCTACACCGCCCTGGAGATCTTTGTGGACCGTCGTGTCTCTGCCCTGCCTGTCATCAACGATGCCGGTACCTGGGGAGGGGACCAACGACCCCCCATCTCCCTCTACCAGCCCCATCCCCGCCCAAAAAGCGCCCTTCCCACCAGCCTGGCTTTGGGGTGCAGGGGGAGCATGGCGGGTGGTCCTCAGGGCCCCCTCCTCAGCCGCTGCACTCTCTCTCCTTGAAGGGCAAGTGGTTGGCCTCTACTCCCGGTTCGATGTCATTGTGAGTACCCCGCGTGTTTGCATGCCCAGGCACGAGCGTGGCCCTTTGCACACTGCTGGTGGGGTGCCACACTGCTGGTGGGGCGCTCACACAGGCCTGTGCCCGCGCGAACGCGTCCCACGCGCGCTGATGCACGTGCCGGCGCAGATCTGCCCTGTGTGACATCGGGGCACCGTGTCCCCCTCGGTGCCAGCACAGCGGGGTGCCAGGACATGTTGGGGTCACCTCTCCCGCAGCACTTGGCGGCCCAGAAGACCTACAACAACCTGGACATCAGCGTGCGGGAGGCACTGCGGCAGCGCACCGTCTGCCTGGAGGGGGTCCTCACCTGCTACCCCCACGAAACCATGGAGGACATCATCGACCGCATCGCCAAGGAGCAGGTGAGCGGCTGGGGCGCCCCGCACCAGCGCCAGCCCCTCGCTGCCCAACCCGCCTGTGACGCTCTCCCTGTGCCCGCAGGTCCATCGCCTGGTTCTGGTGGACGAGAACCGGCACCCACGGGGCATCGTCTCCCTCTCCGACATCCTCCAGGCCCTTGTGCTCACTCCCGCAGGTATCGATGCTCTTAACTCTTAGCCCGCGACGCTCCGTCTTTCTCCACTTGCACCCTCCATTTCTCTCCACTTCAGGTAGGCGCCGTCCCCTGCCACTGCGTGCCTGTCCCCTCCCCGATGCCGGGTCACCCGCACCCCGTCACCTCCCTGCTTGGGCCACCCACCTCTGCCCCCCCCAAGCCGACTCCGTGGAGGAGGCTGGGGCTGGGGTCCAGCAGCACTAGGTGCCCGGGTGGGGACGGCAGGACCCGGAGGCTGCTTGTCCCCGGGGACACAAGGATCACAGGGAATCCCTTCTGGGGTCCTGATCCATGAGGAAGGACGGGGGCTCCCGACACAGAGACACCCTCACCCAGGCAGCGTGTGGGAGGCAGGTTTTGCAGGTCCCTGGGCTGTGGGCTGGATGGAGGATTTTGGGGTGTGGCGCACCCCAAAAGAAAAGCCCTTTCTTGATTTCACCTCAAAGCCCCACACCCTGGAGACCTGAGCCTCCCTTCCCCCCAGTGCCACTCCCAGGGGACACAGATTGGACAGACCCCCACTCACACATCCCGGACCTGCTGCCCACCACCAGCCATGTGCACAGCGTGGCCAACCCACAGGCTGGCAGAGCCCCGCCCCTCCCTCCACCCACGGTCGTCCCAACACGCTTTCTCCAGGGATGGGTCTCACTCCTGGGCCACACTGGGACCCCATTGCCTGGCCGCCTGCACCTGGCACTGCCTTCCCGGTCCCATCATGGCACCCATGTCGGGGTGACCCCCCTGGGGAGGGGGAGCTGGCCCCAGTGCCCAGCTGCTTCCCGAAAATAATGATGCTTTTTGGGGCAGTGGTAGGGAACGGGCTCAGGACAGCCCTACAACCCCCAGTTCCTCCAGCAGTGCCCAGTTACTCCACACAGAAGGGGACTGGGAGTGCTGTCTTAACCACAGCAGGCATGGGACCCCCCCCATTTCCCCATCACAGTGCCTTCGCTCACCCTGCCCCTCGTACCCGCGAACGGTGGCTGTGTCAGGAGCTGCGGGGGACCACTGGGATGTCCCCCTCCGGGCCAGCCTCCCTCCCCCAACCCCAGGGATGGAAGCAAGACCCCGCTGTGTGCCGGGAGGGGTCGGAGGGCCATGCTGCAGGGTGCCCAGCGCAGCGCTGGTGCCCGCCGGGGGTTACGGCCTCGCGCGTTCTCTCGCCCCGCAGGCATCGACCGATCCTCACTCTG